AAAAGTGTCTTTGTTCTGGGATTTGACGAAGAGTAAAGGTGTGGTCGATACAACCTCGACCGGGTCTGAAACCAGCCTGGTTCTCACGCGTACACCGTTCACGAGCGGCAGACAATCGACGGAGTATTATCCCGGCAAGGAGTTTAGAGGCCATGTTTAGTAAACTAATTCCTCTGTGGACCTGTCGCCTTTTAGTGAATCGGTATGATTACCGATCCACACAATTTAGCTGGAACCTGTTTAAACGCCAGGTTTTCAAGAGCCTGAGAAACAACCAGGAGAAGCGGTCGATACAGAAGTGTAGAGAGATGGGTAAAGCTGCTGCTATTGTTGAGTCGCACTCTTTTCCATCTAATTAGGAATACGGGCTCCAGGAAGATAAGCCTGAGGTAATTAAGGAATCCGATAACACTGAGAAGTTTGGTACAATATCACGATTTTTAAGTTCGATTTATGCTTTTACTGTTCAATATTGCCGGTTGATATCGCTTTTCCATCGGAAAGGGAGGTTACCCAAGAATTAAGTTATCTGAAAAAGTACCTGATCTTCTGTCCGGAAGGGCTGTCCCCATCTGCTCCTAAGGATAAAGATTCAGCCTTGGTCCTAGAGTTGACGGAACTGCTGGGTTCACGGTGAGAAATAGAAAAGGCTCCAGATCTTTAGTGTGAGTCGGTTCTCTTACCGATTCATAAGAAAGATGGCTGGCCCTCTGGTGAAAACCACAGAGGAATTAGTTAAATCTACATTGTATTTAAACATCTCACTGGCTTTATACTCGGTCGATTGTATGTCGCACATGAAGAGTGCATGCGTGAGAACTAGGCTAGTTTTATACCTGTGCGAGGTTGTATCGACCACATCTTCAATCTTCGTCAGATTCTAGAACACATGCACTTCTTTCGTAGACCCTACATTTGTGTCTTCCTCGATTTTCGTTGGGGTGATTAATCCGTTTCTTTGCAGTTCTGAGATTTACGTTTTAGAATTCTCTTTATTAGGGTTCACTTCCCGGCTATCAAACGTTGTTTTCGGCGAGTAAGACCCCATCAGCGGATTGTTGTAGAGGATTTATTTTTGTTATTTTAATTTTTTCCAAGGTGTTAACATGGTTGATCCTTCGCGGGCTCAGTTGGACGAGAGAGCTTCATATCCGCAAAGAACAAGATATATTCCGCTCGAGCCAGATATGTGTTGATCGCATATTTACGTGACGTCAGGTTTTCGTGCAACGTCAAACGTTCAGTAGACCAACCATCGTTGTCTTTTTGAACATACGTGCTGCGTTTGACTCACTTAATAGAGCAGTTTTCTGGATTTGTCTGTTAGGAAGCGGTGTCTACTCAAAAACACCAGGCCGCATCAACGTCTATGGTTGCATCTCTCCCTCATTCAACCTCACTCTTTAATTTTACAATAAACAAAATCCTAAGCAGCGCTCTAGAAAACTGCTGAGTCTTCGGTATGCTTCTCCCCGGTGATCGACTCTGTGACGTGGAATATGCTAACGATATCATTATACTCTGAGACTCCTCTCAAGACGCTCAAAACGTCCTGTGTAAGTTAGCACTGTCCGTCGCGCAGTTTGGTATGACATTTTCACCATCGAAATGCGGGGTCTGGCAAGAAGCTACACCGATCTTCACGCTCATGAGCGACCAGTTGGAAATCATCAATCACTTTACTTATCTCGGGAGTTGTATCAGTTCAAAAGGAGTAACGGAAGAAATACCAGCGAGTATCTGCGAGAATCAAATGGCTTTCGCCAACTTAGGTCACTTGTGGTGCCGACACGATCGCAATCTCTCCTTGGAAGGCCGCGTTTGCAATGCCACAATACGCACTGTCCTACTGTACAGCTGCGAGAGTTGGCCCCTCCACACAGAAGACGTACGGAGATTAAGTGTCTTTGACAACCGCTGCCTTCGTTGCATCGCCAGAATACTTTGGCGACAGCGATTCACCAACGACAAGGTTGGCCGAAGAATCTTCACCGCAGACAATCTCAGTCGTCCTCTGATTGCCATCGACTCGCTTCGGAGACTTCGATGGCTAGGACATGTGTTGCAGATGNGATGCCGGCTTTACGACTGCCCCATCATGTTATACTAGCGTAAGCAGATCCCTACTGAGAGTGATGACAAGGTGGACAACAAATAACCCGAGCTAGAACAATGAAAGCGTTAACCTCAAAACTGGCAGTGGTAGGACACTCCACTCCCAGGCTGGGGTCCCAAGGACAGCGAACATCTATGGCTTGAGACACTAGCAGACACAGCTGGCAACCGGCGTTTGCCAATTGGTTACGTGTTAAACATACATTTTTATGCTTCACTGGAGGAGATCAGGTTCTGAAGCCTTTGCGTGGAAGGTCAGTACCGTATGACACCGTCCTTTTAATGGTGTATATATTATCTGTTTCACACGTCCAACGCCAGTTTGTGCCAAACAGATCATGGTACAATACTAATCTTTATGGAAAAGAAAAACGTTTCATGATTTGCACATGGGTTGAATACTGCCAGGTTGCCCTGGCCGTCGGGTGAATTTTTTTTGAGGAATCCACAACCGGATCCTTCGGCTAGTCAAAGCCTGACACGCCAGGAGACGGGGCGGTATGTGGAAACCGTAATTCATTGGGAGCCGGTGTCCAGTACATCGGATCATACACCCTTTGGGCGGAGTCAAACATCCAAGATACTCAATCGAGCCGGTGACCACTGCCACACCCGGAAAGGTATAAATGTGATTCGTTCGCCTCCTCTTGGTTGTTTTGGAATCAAGGTTTTTGGCCAACTCCCCTAGGTGAACTACCAGTGGTCCACCAACCCGGTTATAGCCCCGGATATCAGCTTCATCTACTCGCTTTAGTGGGAAACCTCCGCCGGCACGAGAGGGCGGTGAGTTGAGCTTCCTCAGCAGAATTGGCCATTTGAGACGCTTGGTCTTATGGGAGCATTTCGCGAGATGCAAGGGAAAGGTGATCAGCCGCAACCATAGACACCCATCCCGACCATACTGAGGCTATCGAAAGCCGTGTGATTGTTTACTCCTAGTATTCATGAGTAGTAGATGCATTTTACCACTTGAAAAAAACCGTTATCCACCCAATTATGATGTACAACAAACCATTTTTCCTCACTGGCATTATCTATAACCTTCTGTTCACTTTTACAGCGAATAAATGAACAGCTCCGATTTTCCTGGTTCGTGGCTGAACTATTCACGCCACTTGTTGCTTGTAACAGTTCTTCTGATCGATGGTCTTCTGCTTGCACATGCAGGAGACACGGTTGTCGGATGTGGAGGATTCATTCGATGGCATTCGTCTGTGGTCAAATCGAAAATTGATTATAACCAACTCAAAGTGAATTTGTATCTGGGGGGAACTGACACATTGAAAGATGTAACTGAGGTTCTCCCGAATAGTGCATTTTCTGTCCCCTTGTACGATCAAGGATCTTACCGATTAAAGCTGGCCACACCCAAAGGGTGGTATGTGGAACCGGCAAATGGTTATCTCCTAGATCTTCGCACAGATCCAACAGCTTGTAATAAAGACTTCAATTTCGAGATCCTGGGATTTGCAGTAACCGGACAAGTTTGTTACACTTTCATTTTGAAAATAAAATTTATGTTTCTAAAGGTTGTAACGTTTGGATTGAACACTGGCCCGGAAGGTCTTGTTGTTCGATTCACTTCGGTGCAGGACAAGACCGAAATCCACACAAGGACTCTCACTGGAGGATATTTCAATGTCGGTCCTCTTGTTCCGGGGGAATACACGTTGACGGTAAGCGATGGGGAACAGACTACCACGTCGGACCATATTCGAGCACGACAGTCCGTATCTGTTGGCTCGAATCCGCTCACTTTACAGAAGCCTATTGTACTGTTGGTAAGTCTGATCGTATCTGAAGTCTTTCCTTTTCACCTCAGCGACTAGTGTACCCGTCAGTTCATCGCAGTATTCCCAGTTCCTAGACAGTTGTGAATCCATTGAAACGAACTACTTTGGCTCAATTAACCGGTTATTTTTGCTTTGCTGTACGATTTGGGATTTGTTGTGAGGATTTTACTGCGGTTTATTTGACAGTCTGAATGCACGTGTGAAATGCAAAGATACATACGATGTGATTCGCGTTCCGGAGGCTGTGGGCCAATAATAATGAAAAAATACAATTTGTTTGATGAAATGTATATTTTTCATACTTCTGAGTTCAGACTCTGTGCCAAACAAGTCATGGTGGTGGCGCAGTGGTTTAATCGCTGTCGTCGGTGTGCTTTGGATCCTGTGGTCCGAGGTTCGAGCCCCGCCACCGCCACCCAATTTTGGTGGTAGACAGCTTTGTTATCGGCCGGTTTTATACCACGCCTAAACTAGCGGGACCTTAAGTGGTTCACCACTCCGAGTCTCGGGGCTTAGGTTACCGGTTACCATCTCTGAACAGCAGATCGTCGTGACTATTGGGTCCATCTCGACTGCTGTTCAACACACAGTGGTGTGTAATAAAACAACGGTACAAAAAAGGTTCCAGGATTTTTATGTGGCAGCGGTACTGCTAGGTTACTAAGGCCAAGGCATATGAATTTTCTTGAAGAGTTATCAACCGAAGCCTTCAGCTAGCCAAAACCTGATCAGAAAAATAGCGGGGCGGTGTGAAAATTGCAATCCACTGGGTGCTGGTGTCCAGTTCATCAGATCATAGGCGCTTTAGACGAGGTCAAACGTCCAAGATGCCCAAAACACGTCAATGCCCAATTGAGCAGGTGACCGCGGCCATAACCAAGGAGGTGTAGTTTGCCCCCCACCCCTCTTAGTAGGTTTGGAATCGGGGATTTTAGCCAAATCTGCTAGGTGAACTGCCAATGGTTCACCGACCCGATTATAGCCCCGGATCTTGGCTTTTTGTTCTCCCACTTTAATGGAGAAATCCCTTAGCAGGGGCTATTTGGGACGCTTGGTCGTATAAGATCTGTTCAAGAGGTGCAAGGGAAGATTAATCAGCAGCAATCTATGACACCAAGCCACACCATACTGAGGCTTGTTGTTGAAGACAATGACCCGGTTCAGAATCTTCGATATCAATAAGGCGAACTATTATGACAATAATAGGCGCAACCCCAAAGTATGACGTGATCTATGCGTTAGTCAGGGTTTGTCGATTTTTCTTGAAATGCATTTTTGCAAGACAATAAATTAGTCGATCATAGAAATATGACTGTAAAGCTTTTTCATACCTGTAGCCATGCGTGTATTTTTTGGTGTGTTGTTTGTACCAGTTGATACTATGAACACGGGTGCTAATTGGTATCCAGTTCGTTTTTTTTCTGTTAGGTGAGCTGCCTACAATGAGCCCATTCTCTGTCGGTGATTAGCTGATACGCTAGAGCTAGAGGAGTGGTAGTCAGCCCGAAATGCTTTTTGTTCACTGTCTGTATCCACTATTGTTTTTTTTGTCACACCTGGGCACTGCGTGAACCCATCACCCGTTCCCACCCCGCCTCACTGTCACGCCTTACCAAATTCAATCACATTACAGGGTCACTTTGTTCGTGGACATGTGGCCGATTTCGCGGGACAATCACTGAAGGGAGTGACTATTTACTTGCTAACAAACAGTTCAACCGCAAACATAGATTGCGCCTTGGTTTCGGAATCCACAAAACGAAAAGTTCAACTTCCCCCGGATCTGGATGAAAAATTTCAGCTAGTTTGTGAAGTACGTGTTTTTTTGCATCTTCATTTTTTTTGCGATTTTGCTGTCATAAATTGATTTGCTTTTTCATCTATCCAGTGGATGATTACGATTACCTCATATATATA